AATTCGCGGGGCCGGCTACTCAGCGACAAACAGCGTTTGTAGGGGAGAAATCCACTACAATACTCCCCCTTTCCCTCCAGGCGGTGTAGGAGACTTGTTGTCTGCAGGATTGCATGCCACAAGTGAGCAATAACGGCGAGGTGCGTGGATGAGCCGGCCGCTAGAGGAGACAACTGTCTAGATACACAATATCTGTGGGAGTAGAGAGGGAGAAAAAGGGTGTGTTGAGGCGATGAATGTTGTGCTTCCCTCACGGCAGGTACAGAGTCGTCACATGCACCTGCTGGGGTGTGTGGGCCTGGGTCAGGAGCAGGGGCTGCATCAGCAGAAGCGGATGAGGGCTCGTGATAGCAGCTGGGTCCACGATAGCAGCAGGGTGCAGGACAGTAGCAGGGAGTACCTGAGGGAGAAAAGAGGGGTGTGTGGGTCCGCACTCAGGCGCATGGGCCGAGTCGGGAGCAGGGGCTGCATCAGGAGGAGCGGCAGGGGGTACTGCTGGGCCGGGGGCGGCGTCTGAGGCAGGACGGGTGTGCTGGGGTCGGTAGGACGTGGTGCTTGGGGCAGGAAGAGGAGCTGGTGTCTGCTTAGAGAAGCAGTGCTGCTCTAGGGTGTCTAAACCTGCTGTGTAGAGACAGTAGCTGTAGAGCCGATGAGAGTGCTTCTGGGTGGATAAGCCAGTCTTCCATGCTGCATGAAGACTGGGAGCGTGATCTGTTTCTCCTCCATCCTGTGTGAGTGCGAATCTCCGGGGGTCACCATTTGTGGAGTATGGGATAAGAACATACATAAGAAAATAAGGAGTCTGCAATAGGCCGGTTGGCCTGTGCATGGCAGCTCCTGTCGAGAGTTACTACCACTCTCTATCATCCATGAATCTATCTAGCCTCCTTTTGAAACTTTCCAGCGTTCCAGCACTTACTACAAGGTTGCTAAGCTTGTTCCACTCGTCCACCACCCTATTTGTAAACCAGTTCCTTCCTATCTCCCTCCTAAACCTAAACTTATCCAACTTGAATCCTTTGTTCCGAGTCCTATCCTGCTCGGATATTATAAGAACTTTATCTATATCACCTTTATTGATTCCTTTCACCCACTTGAATACTTCTATCATATCTCCCTGCACTCTTCGTCTTTCTAGGGAATGCAAGTTCAGTTTCTTTAACCTATCCTGATATGGAAGGTTTCTAAGTCCCGAAATCATTTTCGTCATTCTTCGCTGCACCGACTCCAGGGAATTGATATCCATTCTATAATAAGGGCACCAGAACTGAACCGCATAATCGAGGTGCGGCCTGAATAGCGCAAGATATAGTTGCAATAAGACCTCTGCACTCTTATTACTTACACTTCTAGATATAAAACCCAATACTCTGTTTCTTAGCGATAATATATACAATTTATCATCGAAGTTCACACGACTGATATAATGGTTATTATGTTGTAGCATTAGAGAGAAATTAGTGTGTATTGGGTTTGCTGTGCGTATACAAGCTCTGGTGGTGACAAGGTACTTAAACTGGTGAACGGAAATAAAGTAATAGGAAAAAGTCACATGACTTGTACACATTGACAACACAATATATAAATGATGGCATTGTGTCGTATGAGATCAAACACCTTCAGTAATTAAGGCTTTATTCAACTCATAACTCCATATACATCTGCAACAGAACAAAACAAAACCCAATTAGAACAAGAGAATATTTAGAGTAAAGGTAAACACAAACATAATTTATTCCATAATATGACACATTGCACGTAGGTTAGGTATTTTCCATGCCTTTTTTCTGTGACTTCTTTTTCCTGGATTCACTTAAAGTTCTTAAACTATCCAACCAGGAGCAAACTCGTATCAATGGTTTTAAATTAGACAAATTTAGATTTAGGCGCGAGATAGGTAAACACTGGTTTGGAAATAGAGTAGTGGATGAGTGGAACAAGTTACCAAACGCTGAAGAAAAAACAAATCTATCCCTGACTACTTGAGGAGTAGTAGACAATCTCAGACAAACATATACAGTAGAACCTCTGTAATTTCTGTAGTCACGTAGCAAAAATGTGGCGAATGGACCAGCCGGAAGACAAAACGGGGTGGATTAACATGACCAGCCGATTGACTAAACTGAGTTGATAACATGACCAGCTGGGTGACAAAACAGGGTTGATCAACAGCTCCAGCCGGGCGGGAAAACCATTGGTTACCACACATATACCTCACGACAGTGTCAAGTTGACAAGGAGTGGTTGTCTTGCACACAACCCACTTCACCTACATCATAAAACATGATGATAGATCAGTTTATTTTAGGATATTAGTAAGATGTTTATCGGCTACGTTATCTACCAGCTTATTAGTCAGTCTATAGGTCGCTCACTGGCGGCAGATACTGGGTTCCTGACTGTACTGTTCCTGAACATTGGTCAACGCTTATCTAACCTGCAATAACTCAAACTTGTTATTGCCACAACAGTCCCTTGTAGATTATAAGACCTTACAATTCTTAGTAAAAAACTAACAGTAGCTCATTCAAACAATTGTTTGATTCTAGAAAGCGCAGCCATCATCTAATTCCGAATATTAGTGCATATATGACCTTAAATGTGTATAAAGGGAATATCTCACTTGTTGAATAGGAATATTGTACTGTATGTTGACTGTGTATGAAGAGAAAGTAAATTTGGAAAATCCGTTAGACTCATTTAATGCTGAAGTGATGGGTAATTTTACGACGTAATAATCCTCCAGTGCACCTCCAGTGTAATATATATATATATATATATATATATATATATCCAATTGATCTTTGATATCAGGTTTTAAGCTCTTGCACAGTAAATTGTACATTTCATATCCCCATATATTTCTGTCATCCCTAAATCACGTTTCTATGAAATGAAACTAACATTGTTATATCCTGGCCCAAGTCTGATGAAAGAAAATGTTATTTATGGCCACTACTGTCATGGGTGTTACAGCTGGGTATTTTTTCTGGCTCTAGTGTTGTTGTTTAGTCTCCGTAGCTAGAGTACTGTACCTTGTTTCCTTCTATGTATACCTTGTCTTGTGTTACTCACTTGGTCGGTGTGTGTGTATGTGTGCAATCTGCTGGAGGTTTTTTTTTTTTTTTTTGGTATTAGCCCACCCGGACACAGGTCACTGACCCACATCACGGCCTGGGGGGCGAAAATGTAATAATAATAGCAATAATAATAATAATAATAATAATAATTCAGATAAGTAAAATTTATAATAAAAAATACAAAAATAAAAATAAAATTATAATAATAATAATAATAATAATAATAATAATAATAATAATAATATGGAACCATAAAGAAATAAAAAAATATATCATTAGTGAGAAACAATATATGTATGTTGTGTTGTCAATAGTAAGAGAAACAATTGAGACCCTGCAATTGTGTGTAAATGAGGCAGAAAGTCAGTTGCTTCATTTATTCAAACATTACAATATGTGTTGAACATTTTATCTTGAATTACATATATTGCAGCGACTAGACTGTCTTTTCCGCCACTGAAGCACAACCAGGGAAGTCCCAGTTTACTTATTACAGAAAAAAAATATACTCTTCATTTGAACAGTCAATGTAACACAAGTAAATCCAGTGCTCAGAAAATATTTTAAGAACCAACAAGATTATTAATGTTGATGGAATAGTGTAATTACTAACCTAGTTAGGCGTTTAAAGACTTGGTGAAGTGCAGTAATAACATTATAACAACCTCCGTCATTGTGATTTCTAGAAGTTAAATAGCACCCAAATCAGTGGCATTACATAAGACAACAGCGATCACATAAAGTTATAACAAACATTATTAGAAAATGTAAAAACATAAGTCAACTATTTCACGTTCATTTTTTTCCTATTTATCGTTTTCCTACTTTTACATTTCCGTTGATACAGCATTATATCAGTACCTTAAATTTTGTTTTGGGTTATTTAAGAAAACATTTGCACTGGAAACCTTTAGAAATAACCAATCTATAATTGATCATGGTACAGTACATTGCTTAGATTTGTCTACTATTGAGCAACATTTTTATTGTGATTAGAGAAAGTTAATTAAAAATGGCTCAACTTTAATAGAGCATAATGTTGCTGGAGTTCTCATTTTGAGTCAGCGCTAGACCAACACTGGTGCATGTTCAGGTACTTAATGGTTTATAAGCACCAAGCGGCTAACGAGCCGATCAGTGGTAAAGAGGGTAAAAGTAAAAGTAAAAGTATCAGTGAGCAACAACGGGCTGACCCCATCAGCGTTGACAAATGGATTAAGGGATACATGAAGAGGTTTACTTGTGGTTATCCGCCTATTTTAACTAAAATTTATTAATTTGCGATAATTCAAATGGGTAGCTAAACAATTATTCAGTAAAATCGCATCCAAATTCACATAAATTAAGCAGGCGCGGTACAAAGGCAGGGTAAGTTAAGTATACAATGGTAAACAGTAAATTGATTAAATCAAAGATAACAAGAATACTGTTGAAGCTTTATTTCTATTACCGTCCATATAACTCATTCAGAATGATCACAAATTTGCAAGGATTCGCTGTTCTTTATTAAAAAAAAGCCGTAATTTTTACGCTGCAACATCTGTATTTCTTGGGGTAAAATAATAAAATTATCCGTAAATATTGTTATTGATAGTAATTTTCCGTAACGTCCTAATGTATTGAAATTTAATTTGGAATATAATTATAACGAGATTTCAGAAAAAAAAATATGCGAAGCTTCCTAAAGAGTGCTACGTATGAGGGTTTTGTGTAATTTATTAAAGCCAGAAAAGAACCATCCACTCATCTTAGAGGAGCAGCATAGTCATCGGATATCGTTATGATTTTCATAACCCTATTAGAAGACTTTTATTTTATTGTAGAATTTCTCTTGATATAAAATAATAAAACAAAAAATATTAAGTCTATTAATTTTAATGAAAATGTATTCTAGTGTTGGAAATAATTGTAAGAAAATGGACTAGAGTGCGCGTCGAGCTGTGTGGACGACTACTGGGCCTTGAGGAGGAGCAGGTCCAGTCAGCTGATGTGATGGTGGGTAGACGGGGTCCTCGGCAGAGCTACACCTACTAGCTTTCTAATTCTAAGTGTTTTTGTGGTGCTACATGATTCATTGAACCTTCAGTAAGCGTTTGAATATCTGAAGTGGGCAGTGAACGCCAATATGAGTGGGTTTGATGAGATTTTAGGCACTAAAATTGCGGTACGGAAGAGAACTTTAAGAAGCAGCACCATTGACAAGGACTTGACTATGGATGATGATGATGCCATGTTAGAAACCGACTTGTTTCCCGAGTTTAGTAAGTTATTAGACGACGATGTCCCGTGCGACGACGAGAGCGTGGGCTGCCCGCTTCCTGGCACTCCGGAAGATGATTCCTTCATCGACTCGAAGGAGGTAAGTGGATAATACAAGTGTTTGATTTGTGGTCCATGTGTCCGCAGTTGTCTGGTGACGCAATGTAAAACCAGGAAAGACCTTGGACCCCAGGCATGTGGACCAGCTGATCATGTGGAGCATATTTTACACTGCTGGCTGTGTACATCTCGCCCAAGTACATTGTTTACTTATATATCTATACTCTTCTCCTTACTCAATCAACATGAACTTGTATGGCAATTTTAGTCGATAAATATTAATGTATTTAGAACCCCTAGGTGAGTATATCTTACCAGCAGTGATAATATTGAGGTGGATGTGAAGAAACGAAGTAATATTTTGAGCCTTTGATTTATGGAACTTACTTACGTGACTGTACTGTACATTTGGTTTACAGATCTATTGTTGGAACTGTAAAGCATTGATCATCATTTTCCTACCCAGAAAAATGCCTTCGTTATGTGAGCTAGTAAGTAAGCAGGTCACTGGTTATCCGTGCTTGCGCCTACAATCTGAACAGCCATAAGAACATAAGAATGGAGGAAACTGCAGCGGGCCTATTGGCCCATACTGGGCAGTCCCGTTTACACCCAACCCCTATTGCTCATATAAGCATCCAACCTATGTTTGAAGCTATTCAGCGCATTCGAGTTAATGATGATATTTGGTAACTTGTTCCATTCATCCACTACTGTTTCCAAACCAGTGTTTACCTATTTCACGCCTAAATCTAAATTTGTCTAATTTAAAACCATTGTTACGAGTTCGCTCATGGTTGGATAGTTTGAGTACCTTTGTAATGTCCCCTTTGTTTAGCCCTGACTTCCACTTATACACCTCTATCAGGTCGCCCCTCGCTCTACGTCTTTCGAGGGAGTGCAAATTAAGATGCTTTAACCTGTCTCTATATTCAAGGTTCCTAATGCCCGGGATTAGTCTTGTCATTCTCCTCTGAATTCTTTCCAAGGATTCTATATCCATTCTGTAATACGGTGACCAGAACTGAACTGCGTAGTCCAGGTGTGGTCTCACAAGAGCAAGATACAGTTTTACGATGAATGTAGCAGGGATGATGAACCGGTCCGACTAATTACCCAAATGTAGCCGTAATGAAGTCAAATAATGGTCCTACATGAATAAATCGGGCTGTGAATCACTTCTCGATTATTATTTGGTGTCAGTCACAAAAAATTGGTAAACTTAATTTAATCTGAGTTGTGTTGTGTTAGGTTAGATTAGATTAGGTTAGGTACATGCACTTGATCTATTAACTCGGATTAAATTAAGTTTACCAATTTTTTGTGACTTCGTGACACCAAATACTAGTCGAGGTTAGGTTCGGTTCGGTACACACACTCGATCTATTAACTCAAATTAAATTACGTTTTCCATTTTTTTTTTACTTTGTGACACCAATTACTAGTCGAGAAGTGATTAGTAACCCGTTTTATTCATGTAGGACCATTATTTGACTTCATTTGTGATTTTCTTGCTGTAAAAAAAAATTATTTGTCTTTTATAATAAATGTCCAAGTTACTGAGAATATAGTATTACCGAAATTCCTAAAACCTGCAACCATAACATGGTTGGTGGTGGTCCTCATTTATAGTACTGTACTGTATATTATGCTGATCTAACCCTACAGTACCACCACCTGTGTAAATCATACACAACCATTACTCGTATAAATCTTAAACGACATAGAACTGTTTCAATCTTGCACCCATCACCACCTGTGTGGATCTTACACCACCAGTGCAAATATTACATAACCACCACATATATGAATCTTGCATCAAGGAAATGTGAATCATTGTGTGTGAGTGGTCGGAGTCACCTTGCTTATGATGATGATGATTATCGTCGTTTTAAGGCCATATTCCATGCTTGTCTGTGTTAGCTACAATTACCTGATGGCAGCTCTCCATGCTGCATGATTTCCTATAGTTTCTCTTGTCAGGTATTTAACTGTTAGTTTTTACAACCACTTACAACCCACTTGATATGAAATACGTTTTGATAGGACACAAATTGAACCATCCAAAATCTACTATTAAACTAACCAAAATATAACCTAAGAGCTGTAGACTAGGCTCGGTTGGTAGGTTTGTTGGTTGAATCTAACCAACCAACCTAACCATGTTTTTTAGAATTTTTCTCGTTAGGTTGTATTTGGTTGGTTTACTTTGTTTTTGTCATTAGGCCAGATGTGATGGTTATACAGGGTTGTCTTGCAGTCTGTAGGGACATCTTTGCTGCTTTTTCATATATTCACAGTGAATTTTCCAGGCTGCCCTTCTGGATTTGCATTCTCTGTGTTAAAGTGAATATTTTGGTAAAGATGCCATTAAAAGGCTCTCAATGCAAAGGTGGTGTTCGTTGTCTATTCCTTGCCTAAATCTTACACAGCAGCCTTAACACTGTATAGAAAAAATCACTACAGTACTGATGTTCTTTTAATGGACTACAGGTATTTGATGACAGTATGTGTACAGTATTTCATATTGGTATGTCTTCATGTGATGTGGTTATGTGTCAGTTTCTGGACAACAATTATAGCTATAGGTGGAAGGATGATGTTGCTGGGGCCAGATGTGACTACTGTAATTATCTTACTTCACCTTACCCAAGCAAACTTAAGTTGACCTCTCTAATCTAACCCAATTAACGTAAACTAACCCAATCTACTTTGAAGTAATGTACGTAATAGAAATTTTTTGCATAATACTATCTTATCCCCAAAACTACATCCATGCTAGGAGAAGCTCTATAGTGATGACCCTATTCTATGTCTGCCCATTTACAGTTTATTTCTATCTAAATGTCTCTTATCTGAAAACCTTTTACTATTGAAATGGGATGCTGTAATTCAAATGTGACCACAGTGTGCTAGAACAGATTCATTTGAGTGAAAGCCAGCTACCTCAAATTGCATCGTTCGTGGCAAGTGTTTGCCTCAACTCTTTGCCAATGGCTTGCTAAATAGGAGGGTGGAGGTTGATGGTCAAATAACCTTTTCCTCTTATTAATACAGTTTTGTTACTGTAGTTTTTCATCAGTTGCTAGTAGATTTACCATACTCATTGTGTACACACAGTAAAAAAAAAATGCATCGCGCAAGGGGGGGAGGGGGGTGTCTGCTGACTTCCGTAATGATCCACACATCACCTAGGTTGGTATGCGAGCCTGTATATACAGCAGGATATGTCTTTAGCAACAGGTATGTGAGGACATCCTTGGGCAATGACAGCAGGGCTACCACCATAATACAGGACCAACCCGCATATTCCACTATCCCTCGTCCTTAGTGTCATATTGTTTTGCACATAATCTGTGCGGTACTTTTTTACTGTGTGTACATCAATATTTATATTTGATATTTTTAATAATCTTACCAGGTAACTGCTATGTATTCTAGACTTTATTTTTTGCCATTGACTCCACTGTCAATGATTTGGACCACAATCCATAGCACTTCATTAACTACGTTGGGCTGATTTGCAGTTGGTCTTGTATTTCTTGTTTCATAACAAATAGGTTTGTTTTATTTTACAAGCAATCCACAGAAAAGACTTTGTTACATGAAACCAGATACCCCTTTGTAGGAACACAGGATTGTGCACATTAAATCATGCTAATTTTCAAAGCCTTAACAGATACAAGTTACTCTAGAAGTGCTCACTTTTCATACCAAGTTGAAGCAAACAAAAGTGTGTTGCAGGTAGTAGCTACAGTATTATGTATTTGTAACACTAGTATAGGGGGTCGCTGGGTTACAAACTGGTTCTATTCCTAAGGACGTTCTCAAGTTGGATTTGTATGAAAGTTGGAGCACATGCTATGTGCATATTGTACTTAAAGGAGCAGTGTTTAAAATCCCACTATATCATAGCTTAAGTCCTTGTATATATTTAAAATCACTTAATTTAAGACAAAAGCAGAAATAGAATTACAAAATACAGTAAATGAAAGTACAAATAAGTCATCAGGTAAATAAAATACTGTAAATTTCAAGTTTAACCTCGTTCGTATTGGCGGGCGGGCGTAAGTTGGACGTTTGTAAGTCGGGGACCCCCTGTAGATGAATTAGTCCTCCTACTTTCTGTTCTAGTGAATTCCCAGCTATCCTAATTTACAATGTCACATGGCGGGAAATGTTCACATTTCATAACAAATAAAGAAAACACTTCACACAATTATTTTGGGTGGCAGATCAAATGGAAGTCATGTACTGTATGGTACTTCTGCTAAGCATACCACCAACAGTCATAACCTACAGTAGTTAGTCTTCTTGGATGTCTTGGGCTCATGAGAAGTGATGGTGAGTGTGCATGCTGAGCTTGGAAGAGGCTGATACCCGGAGTTTTAATCACCCTTTTTCGTTGATGGGGAATGTCAATCGTGTTTGCAACCAGTTTTAAAAAAAATGAGTTGCGAAGGACACCGCATTACAGCGCTTGATAGGGAGGTGTGGTGGTAAAATTAACTTACAATTAGTTCATTTTACCACCACACCTCCCTATCAAGTACTGTACAGTACTGTAGTGCGGTGTCCTTCGTGACTTTTTTTTTTTTTAAACAATGGTTGTAGACACAATGACCCTCATCAACAGAAGAGGGTGATTTAATCTAAGGGCGTGAGACACGCGAGTGAATTTGTCTTTAATACAGTATTGTACAACTCTTAGAGAAAACGGTAATTATCTCCAATATAATACATTATTTCCGGAAGTGTAATACTGTACAGTATGTGATTGATATGCTGTGGTTGTATATGTTTTACTAATCACAACTCATTGTCAATTACCCAGGAAGAGGAGTTAAGGCACAGAGTTGTTAACCGGGAAAGTCACGATGATGACCTGGTGCTCAGTTCCATGGCCCAGAGTGCCTTTGAGACGGCCGAGGAGTTGGTCCACAAGGTGTGGGAGGAGGTAGCCAGCTGGAAGACTCAACCTTTCTCAAAATTACCCAAGTGGCTCCAAGACAACGACTATTTACATCACTGGCACAGGTTAGGATTCTTTATGGTTTGCTTCTGTTAGGCTTTTTCATCAATTTTGAAAATGCCGTAAGACTTACTTTAAGGTCTAAGAGTTAGATGATGTTTACTATTTTTTTAGCTGTGGGTCTGCCATTTGGTCACTACACATGTTTTGTTTCAACATAATGACTACAGGTAAGACCTACTGTACAGGAGTTAAATGATAGATTACCATTAGGATGTGTAACTTACAACATGTCAATTCATAAACATATTTGATTTACCGTATTGTTTAGCCAATTAACAACTTAATGGTCAATTGCGCAGTTGGTTTATTCTTTGTTACTCTATGGCCTTCATTTGCAAGGTATATTGTTGTGTATATAGTAGACCTTCAATTTAGTGTAGTTCAATATATGTACTGTACTACACTTGATATAGCGTGAGATCCTAAATTACTCCCATTTTCATTATTGCTTGGCCAAATTCGATATTGTGTAGTGCAAGTCCAGAAAAATTAAATTACACTAAATGGATCACTGTATTCATCACTTGATAAGTGTTTACAGTGTACAATACATGTACAGTACTGTGTGTTTTTTATTGTGACGGAATATTTTGTTTTACCCTACACTTAGAGGAAAAAGAAGTTGTAGTTGCATTTAACAATCAAGAAAATGCAGGCTATTACTTTTGATGAGAAAATCAAAATCTGTCAAATTCCTCTGAGAGCAGTGCTTGTGCCTCCAAGCAATAATTTGACTTCTCAGTCCAGTATGCACTGGGATATGATAATTTAAGGCAAGAATTTGAGATATTATCACAGTATTCTTACTGTAAAGCTGACAGGAAGCATTCAAGAGGCAGGATTAGGATGGGTTGGTAAGAAATCTTAAAATTAATGGAAAATTTTTCTGGAATCTATTTGTCACACTGTTAGGGTACTGAGCAGTTATGTAGTTACGGTTACATTTCTATGGGTTATTTTTGTCAACCTTTGCTTATACTGTACAGTACTGTATACGGGCCCTAGAATTTTCTTGTTTATATGCTGTTAGATGTTATAGGTTTTACCCATACTGTACAGTACAGTAGTATATGGAAATGTTACACTTCCTCCTCTCCCCAACAGGCCACCACTTCCATCATTTGCTGCGTGTTTTAAGTCCATATTCCGAATTCACACAGAGACCGGGAACATCTGGACACATCTTTTAGGTAAACACTGTTGCCATACCGTTTTCATTATTATAAATGCATAATTTTTTAGCAATTACAGTTGTTCACTGAGAGGGGAAGGATATATACAGTAATTGATGTATAATTTTTAATTTTTTTTTACTTTCTTTGACTGTGAGCTGGTCTTTCATAAACCTTTGAGGACAGTGTTTGAACTCCTGAGGATATTAGCTGAAACCACCATACTTGGAGGTTTGTACAGTAACTTAAACCATCATGTTCAATGGGTTATACAGTAGCTTAAAACCCCTGTCCCCAAAGGTTCATATACTGTACTGTATATCTTAAAGCATCAGTATCATTTCTTCCATCCTGGTAGTGGTTCAGTACTGGTTTAAACCACCTGACATAATAAACCCTGATTGCCCAAACATTCCTTTCATGGTCCAGTGATAATCTTTTGTTGACTCGGTAACAGGTACAATATGGCTATTATCTTCTCTACCATGTCAACCAGCACTCTGTATTGTATTTGTTGGAGAACACGCCACTCATAACTGATGTGCTGTCCTGTGCCCTTGGATTTTTTTATCTCGGTGGGTCAGTAATAGAAGCCTATAGAGAAACAAGGGGGTGGTATTAATCAGTGAAATTCTCCAGCCTCAAAACTATGAAACTTGAGTTCATACCCACAGACATGCAGGTTTTTTGGGGTATGTTTGTGTGAGAAACTTTTTTTTTTTTACGGGGATCAGCCCACTCGGACACAGGTCACTGACCCACATGGGTTCCAGGGGGGCGAAAATGTAATAATAATTCATAGTAAATAAAAATTATAATACAAAATTGAAAATAAAAATAATATAATAATGATGATAATACAGTACAGTAATAAAAACATCACTGTTATAATAATAATGATAATAATAATAAAGAACCATAAAGAAAAAAGTCAAAAGTGAGAAATAATATACTGTATGTATGTTGTGTTGTCAAAATTAAGAGAAACAATTGAGACCCTGCAATTGTGTGTAAATGAGGTAGAAAGTCAGATCAGCAACCTGGGACTTGGTCAAAATTTTTGTGATGCCATATGGCAGCAGGGTCTACCATTAGACAACACATGCTTCCAATATCTTCCCGAGCTGTAGTACCTCCCCGTTTGATAGCTGCCTTCTACTTTTTAAAAGACTTAACTGATTTGTGTTGGTGATGCATTGTGAGCCCAGGCCTTGTGTAGGAATAGTTTTTAAGGTCCTCAACTAAGCTAAACCTTCTTTTAGCTGTTCAATTGAAAGACGTTCTTGTTGGCTTTTGGGAGTTGGGTGTCCATGTGCCTTTCCTTTGTGTGTGTGTCCTATGTTTTATTGCTCGCACCAAGAAGGGCAAGAGCCATTATTATACTGTGAGCATGTGAGGTAATGAGCAGCAAGCATATCCAAGTAATCCATGATTCATATTGTACTCCTGAGGTCCATTTTTATTATTATTATGATGATTGGCCTGTCTTAAGCATTGGGTTTTGGGAGTGTATGTTGAGTGATAGCTTCCCATATACCCACCTACTGAAGGCCTGCATGTAGGCACTGACCGAGTGTGATAGGATGTAATGTGTATGGAAGCTGCACCTTACAGACCATTGGAAGATCCTTGGTGGTAAATAATATCATTTGAGAGTTTTGGAAAACGGAGTTGAATGACAGTAAGTGGTTCTTGGGACCAATTGTGTCCTGGCAGCATTCCCCCGTGTCTCATCTTGAGTTCCATTATTGTCTTGGCCATCACAGCACTTGCTGACCTTTACTGCTGCCAGTAGTTTGTATACTGTGACTACCTGACTACCACCACTACTATTATTAAATAACCAATAAATTCATTAAATTTAAATCATTATGACTAGTGATATTTGATAGCTGCCATCATTATTAAACAAGTGGTGACCACCATCACCCCTGTTATTAGATAACCACTATACTGTATCAGTGTTGTAACTAGTGACATTATGATAACTGACATCATTAGTATAAAAACTGCTGCTACCATTATTTTGGCTACTGCCACTACTATCATAATAACCACTTATGCAGTTGTTACAACTACCATTACTAATGTGTGTTGGCAGACAACAGTTAATGAATATTTTGTTATTATACAGTGCTGTACTTATCAGAATCTCTTTCCACTCTCTCTTTCCTTACCACTACCATCACCACTAAAATGGCTCCTATCATCAACTATACTGCACCACTGTCAGGATAATAGCCATACTACCCACCATCACTGATGTCTTCTGTACTTTATAGTATCTTAGACCTATTACAGTAATGAACTATTAATGTATTGCAGGGATCTTGAGCCTGCCATGCCATTATCCCTAAAATGATGGGTTAAATGCTTGGCTTTTGTTGATATTTCCTTGATTGCATATTTGTATCCACATTTAATGCACATGTAATGTGAAAGCTACATACAGTATGTCTGGATTAGTTGATTTTTTTTATTTTATCAGAATCTTCCCAGACATTTCCGTTATTTAGATTGTCAAATGTATGCACACCTTTACAGAACTGTAATACTTGCTAAGAGAATAAAAACTGTGCAATGAAGTTGTTATTAATGTTTCAGGATGCATATCGTTCATCGGGGTGATGGTGTATTTCTTAACGGGGTCATCTCTAGGCCAACATTGGGTACACCTCGATTTGAAGGAGAAGTTGGTGTTCACAGCATTCTTCATTGGGGCTATCTTCTGCCTTGGCCTCTCCTTCATGTTTCACACGGTCTCCTGCCACTCGGAGTTTGTGGGCAAACTCTTCAGCAAGTGAGTACTCTAGCCCCTGTTATTTTATTCTATACAGTATGAGAGGTATGATTACTGTCAACACTTTATTTTTGTGTGTTTGTTGTTGGTTTTTGTTTTGCATAAGGGTGGATATGTACTGTTAGTTTCTGTGTGTTTGAGGTATCATATGTACAGTAGCTTAAAAAAAAAGTATCTGACAAGGTGGATCCGATGACTTCCAAAATTATACGTACAACTCTTGATGCCTCGGGAGGTTTGGTATGCGCGTCTTCACCCACTGCCATTCAGTATCCAACACAGTGGGTGAGTTGACATATAGGAATAAAATAAATGGTTAAATGATTACTATCACACAGTATAAGGAGACAACTCGCATATCCCAATACCTATTGTCTGTGGTCTCATATTGTTTCACACAGTATGCACAGATACTTTTTTTAGCTACTGTCCTTGCTATTGTGTGTAGATATATTGCCATTGGTTGTAAGGAAGTAGAGTTAACACTACAGTATGCATCACTCATAAATGTGTGTGGGAAATATAGTTGTATGAACTTGTGCCAGAGAAGGCTATGGTTTGTTTTGGTTATACTCCATTATTTTTTAGATGTAATTATAGGTATTGAGGCTTTAAACACCTTGAATGACATTGATGTTACACTACATACACTAATACTGTTAGTGTCTTGTGATTAACTACATTAATCCCAATAAGATTAAATTTTTATCCTCTTCTGATTGCATTTTCGTTTTGTACTTATGACAACCTCTAAACGTTTGTGTCATCCTGTTCTGATTATACTTATCCTATTATGATTACTTTTATCTTATTTACAGCGTTGTTCAATTATGATTTATTTTATCCTGCTCGAGTTTCATGGTCATAGTGCTCTTATCATGCCCTGCTGTGATGAGGCTATCATACTAGTTGATGTGTGTGAAGTGAATAGAATAATGATTTATAAAGAGGAACGATATCTTGGATGTGATATTATTATCATCATCATATTAAATGTATAGCCTTTTGACTACATGAATTGTAAAGCAGCAAGCAGCTCGGGTTGGATAAATAATACCAAGGTGCTCACACAAATTTAGGAATTGTTTTTAATGTAGGCTAATTTTTTTACTCTCCCAATTGAAAGTTTGGAGAGATATAGTAGTGGTGATGTCTTCTCTTTGTCGAGTTGGTGGATTGATTTTAGTTCTGGTGTGAAAGTGTATTGTATCTAGTTTATAATTGACATTGAAGACATGTTGCTAGCTATTGAGTGACTCCATTTTTTATTCATAGTCCTTTTACCTCATGTTGTTTATATATGTATTGTACAGTCATGCTTTATTGGGAAAATATATGACAACAGTACAGTAGATTATCAAATGTTTCACCACACATTGATTCTATGTGAACATGAAGCCATCACTAGAACCATTGAAGAATTAAAGCAAAACATCACATCTGAGTGTGTTAACTTTACCAAAAACTTGATAGTGTGAGTTAAGGCATCAGGTCTACATAGAATCAACTTGTATTTTGGAGTAGATGGTGAAACAATTGATAATTTTCTGTGGTTATATGTGACTTATGACATTATATTATTTCTTTACTTTTCATCATTATTACTTAGTGTATAAAGTTTTTGGTATATTATAATAGCTTATGTTTTCCTGCTGATTGTTTGTGAAAGTGCCACTACTAATACCTTGTTTTCTACAATACCTTCCAGACTCGACTATTGTGGGATTGCATTATTAATAATGGGTTCGTTCGTGCCCTGGTTATATTATGGGTTTTACTGTGACTTCCAGCCTAAGATCATCTACTTAACAGCTGTTGTACTGCTGGGCATCACTACCATTGTTGTCTCACTCTGGGAGAAATTTAGTACCCCAAAGTTCAGGCCTCTACGTGCAGGTTAGTGATGTCATGTTATATGTCCACACGTGGTCATCTCATGGTAGAGTAATGTGTTAATTAGACAGTATATTAACTCCTGGTTTTTACACTTTAACTTTGGCTTAACAGTCATACCCTTGTACTGTAAAGGGAGGCATTTTATTTTTAAGTAGCCATTGTTGCCAGTGTTTTATTTGTATGATGTTCATGATGACTACTGCTTGTTTTTTACTCTTTCCAACCTAATGTTGTTAAACATGCTTATCAATGCATATTACTATCTTCACAAAGGATTATTAAATGGGTTCCTGATCACCACTATAATCTGCTTACGAAAGAAAAGTGACTAAATGGGATGAGATACTGTAGAATTTACTAAATAAAGCAAGTGAGTTGTGATGCTTTATGTATGATAAAACCAGGCCTTTATTTTTTATTTTTTTGGTTAACCAGACAGACCAACATTTAAAAACAAATCAACAATAACAAGTGGCTCGGGATTGGAAAGATAATTTTTTGAATTAATAGAAATCCAAGACTTCTGTCAAATGACAGTAATGGCCAATCATACCTTACAAGCACTCTGAGCCTACCCACCTACATGCCCAGCACGTGTCATCACATGATGCAATTGCTTGAAAATTTATTCAAATGCTTGGAATGAAGTGTTTTTTCTTGGAATGCTAAAATTTTATTTTCCTGGTAATAAAAAGTTCCTGGGATTGAACCTTGCTGAAAAACCAGCAGTGTTTTCCTTGAGAACATTGCTGATCAACTTAGCTGTAATTAATGTGCTGGTCTGAAGGCTGCTGGCTGCAGTAGTCTGGTTAATAAAGTTATTGTCCACGAAATTTTGTTACAGACTTAGGAATACCCGGTATAGAGAATGTGTTCTTGATGGTGTTTATGCACAATTGTTCTGTTAATAGTTGTAAGTGCATACAAATAATTGCCATGACTCCTATTTTGCAAAACAGAAATTTCCTCATCTTTTTAAAATATTGTAGGTGTGTTCCTGACTTTTGGACTGTCCGGGATCATACCAGCTGTGCACTACACGCTCATGGAAGGCTTTGATTACGCCATCACACGTGCCTCTCTGGGTTGGTTGATCCTCATGGGGGCGCTCTACGTGGTTGGTGCATTATTGTATGCAGTACGGGTCCCGGAGAGATTTTTCCCCGGCAAATGTGATCTCTGGGTAAGTGTTACAGTAGTGCCAGAATGATTTTATTCTTTTTTGTGGATGGAATTGTTCAGGAAGGTTGCTTAGTTCTCCTGTCATATACTGATACTGTATCCTGATTTATTTTCTTTGCAGTGCGAGTGATTCTGTTGTTTGGTTGCTTATATTGCATATTTTTTTGCCATTACTTTTGTTCACATTATCATCTGCCTCTTAACACTAGTAGTTCCTGACACTTTCTCTAATATTTGTAACGTTTGTGTTGATCTCACACTAGAAACATGTCATATGCAATTAGCAACTGACTTGTCTTAATTTACATCCCATCATTCTTGTTGTTCACCTCCACTGCCCCATCATTGAATCTATTGACAAACCAAATTCAGATTTGTCCCATGCAGTGCAGGGGCTAGTTTTGGGCACCCACTTGCATTCTGTGTAAGACGAAGTGCTGAAGCATTGCGGTGCCCAACAGGGAAGCTTGCAGAGATCATGCTTGCCTTCTTAGAGGGGTGGGTGAGAGCACCTGAGGGACCATTGCTTTCGTTAGGAAGTTACATGGAGTGGAGTAAGAATAAGTGTATTTAAGGAGGATGCCCTTTACCGTTCATGTTTGACAAAGCTGGGTAGGTCTTTGGGTAATATTTTTGCCTTCATATAGTTACTTAACATATGTTCCACTTTTTTTAAGGTTAATTGTATATGCAACTTTCTGGAGAACTTCAGTCAACTTTATGCCCTTTTTGTTACTTTTTACCCCATACTGACTGGGATTAGAGAAGGTATGCAACAAGTAATGGGGAGTCCTGAACCTAATTCTTCTTCGTGGCTATTTTGATATAATCGTTGTGATTACTATTTGACTGTGTTGTGTTTACTATGCATGCATTATCAGAAAGTAGGGGAGTGAATTAGCTGGCTATTTGGGGGTTATATTATGAAAGGGAACACCAAAGTAGAAAAATCTAGTAAAGTGGCTAGAAAGATTGAATGACATTAGAGTCTCTCCTCTTCTTGATTATGGCTACCCTACACCTTAGTAAAAGAAGCCATGCCGGAGCGATAAAAGTATACAAGTTTAAATGATCTGTGATGGTAATGAAATAGCAATCAAGGTACAGTCTCGCCCAAAAGTTTAACTCCCAGCCAGCTATTGCTGCACTGCCTGCTTCAGATGTTTGAAACTGTCTCTGTACCAACCAGAACATGAAACCGATATGAATAAATCTAAAGGTTTGAAGTAACAGACTCAAGTTCATAAATCTGAAACAGGCAGTGGAGCAATAGTTGGCTGGGAGAGTTAACGAACTTTTGAGTGAGACTGTACCATCCTCATGTGTAAAGATTGGTCGGCAAGGCCTACCATGGACACTTTTTTTTTTTGGATTGACTCAACAACTTTTCCACTTTTTATTTTCTAAGGCAATTATTATAATATATCCCAAAGAGTCGAAAGAATGTAAAAATTATTCATTTCAGTTCCAAAGTCACCAGATCTTCCACATCTTGGTGATAGCTGCAGCCTTCGTCCACTACCATGGGATTTCTGAGATGGCCATGTACCGTCTCACCCATGGAGATTGTTCTGTGGAAGACCTGGCAGCGATGGAAAATCAGGATCTCCTTTAAACTTTGTAATATGACGTTAGATATGAGTGTGGTCTAGTTTGTTGTGTGCTTTGTAGGCAGTTGCTGGAATCAGGTGTGAAGTGCTTGGTGGCATGCCAGTGGTGACCTTGCCCCTGGTGTATGGACAGACCACTAGTGGACAGAAGGTGTCGCGTTCTGTGTAAATTAGACTCGTCGAGAAGTTGACACGCCTGAGAGATAATCACTTGAATCATTTCATTAGCTTATAGTTTGTGAAGAAATATTTGTTTCCCGAATTAATGGAAGTCTTAATACTGATTGTGCAGATACTGTAGTGTACTGTAAAGTGATCATGTAGATTGTGTTGAAACAGTCACGTGGTTAAATAGCATTTTGCGAGTTCTTTGGTGGGGAAAAGTTGGTTAATTCTGTTATTTCTTCCAGTCATGCCAGATTTAACTTCAGCTTTTCCATGTGATATTTGACAGTTTTGATGTAATGCGTTATTTAAAACTCCAAATGCTATGATTTGATTTAAATAAATTCTCTCTGGAATACAGTATTTCAATATTATTACTTTGATACATACCATAATGGTTCCTCTTATTGCTGTATTGGGCTACCACACTACAAAAATTAATAAACTTGTATATAGGTATGTTTTTAAGTAACAGACGTTGACATTATTCATAACTGTCCTGACTTAGTGGTAATTGTCTTCATTGTGAAGTCATGAATGATGTGAATGCTAAACCAATACTTTAATCAGTAAAACAGTGTAGTAATAATGTCAGTTGGATGAATGCTCGTGTTAATCTGCATATTTATTAGATGATTTTGTTTTTGGCACCAGCAATGCCCTTCTACCATCTCCAGTGACCTCCTCTGCCATACACAACATTAATCAAGCGGTGTTTTAGCTCAATTGATCATCCTTTAAACTCCCAGTCCAAGAGGTATGGATGGGGATTTTAGTCTGGTGTGCCCCGAGACAATTACTCAAAATGTCAGCACCCCAGTCTAAACTGTGTATTCTCCCATGGGAGTTGCCACCCCAACTAATAATGAATGAGAAACAGCTTTATGGATGCTAGCTTTGTTTACAACCTTAGCTATCGACTTGGCATTTGTCTGAGCCACATCTAGCAGAACTTGGCCTGATGCTGCCATGTCAAGTGAATTTTTTGGGCCATACCCATTTTCTCTGAGCCATCACACTAACTCTTGATTATGATACCAGACTGCCCTTAAGCATATGTTTGTAGCCAAACTATCACCTACACTCTCCTATCCTTAATTATACTGGACAAGTAACAAAATGTTCTACTTGGGTATGCTATAGCCACATCAATAAGTAATGACTGCGAGTGTCATTTAAGGCTTAATAAGTTTTTGGTGTTTCATGGATTTTATTGTTTGCTTAATGTTTATACTGTACAATGGAGATTGAGCTCCTTATGGCTATAGGAGTGATCAAATAATGTGATATCGTGACAAAACTGTGTACGTGTTTTGAGTCCAGGTGAGATTTGTGTATGTAAACATGTATTGGGAAAGGACAAATGAATACAGTGTAACCAAAATAGGAAAAAAAATTTTATATGCCCACTAATGCAGTCATACAGCTTGTGACAATTTGTCACTATTGTCATCTCAAACTTTCACTTCAATTTTGTGTGACTTAAAATTTTGGAGAATGTTTCATACAGATAAAAAACAGATGAAGTTCATTTTTGAGGATTCTAACATTAACGATTCCACGAATGAATGTATTGTACTATATAGGCAGGGCCATTTTATTTTACTGAAGTATGTCATTCCATGCACACTCATGAATTTGTTTTATTATGGTCATGAGTAAGTCATTGTTGGCATAAACCTTTGTTAGTTTTGGGATCAAGGGAGGTAACCTTAGTGGTGTCAAAGGTAGTTAAATGTCACTGCTTTAAGTTTTATAGCAAGGAAAATTACATAAGAGTTTAGGATGAAGTAGATATGTCATCACTGTTTGGGGGGGGGGGGTGCATTAAGTACAGGGTTTGTGGACTATTGAATCATTCAAAAGGTAAAATTAGATGTACAAAAAGAGTTGGCACAAGAAATTAATCAGTTTAGATTAATTCAACTCGATGGTCACTACACATCTGGGTGATATCAGTGTATTATATTACATTTCCATCTTCAGATTTATTAAAATCATGTCATAATCTCCAGAATGTCATCTCGATTGTTGCTTTCTTCCATGTTTGTGTCTTTGATCTTGCTTTTATCTGTCTGTAGTGTGTAGGCATTCCTAGTTCCTTCCCACTGTTGTATGGGCTGGATCTAGGGTTCCAGAAACATAAAAGAAGGGAAGATAGGATATACAGGGTTTGTCTCCCCCCAGAAATGTATACACACTGAATAATGATTATATATACTTCTCATTAAGTGTGTGTACTGCACTGTACTATACTAATGAATTAAAAATACATAATGAATAATTCTGAGGACAATGCATTTAACTATGCTCTATCAGAATTAATATTTTTTTTGTTTAGTGTATGCTGTAGTATATATTTTTTTCATAAATACAGTATTATAATTCAATGTGTAATTTTTTTGAGACATTACTTGATAAGTTTTGAAAGCAACAGAAAGGGTTTGAAGTATGTAGTTGCCTCATACATATCATTTTATTCTTAACAAGTCACTTTTATGGAGTTTTTAAAGTTCATAAAGTAACCTAGGTGCTGATTAATTATGTCTACAAGTCAGACTTTCATTACAATATTTGCCTTGTAATGAAGATTCTGTGGACAGTGAAGTCTTGCTGTAGGCCAATATTAAATCTGTTTTTACTTCTGTACATCATGATATCGAATAATTGCTTTATTTAAATAGTCTAATACAAAATATTTTTAATTTATCCATAATCAGATATCAACTGTTTTTGATACCATCCTTTGATGTGTTGAACATCAAGTTTTTGTTCTGTTTGAACATTGCCTCACATCAAATATTTACCGTGTACTGTATATAACATAATCTAGGTACACACTATTAAATTGCATTACCTGCTGAAAAACTGGTATGGAACTGCTAAAACTTTTTTTTCCCGGTAATATAAGACTAAAGTAAACGGTAAATGTGTGTGGAAAGTGTGAGGTTGCCACAAGATTCCTCATATACAGTAACTACCTTGGACTTCATTTTAATTATTTGGTTCACCAGTCAAAGGATTTATTATTTTGTTTGTTTAGTTAAATTCATTTCCTAAATTTTTATGCTGTAAATATTTTTTTTCTGAAATTCTGGAAGTGCTTGTTGAGATATTGTGATGAAAAACATCCAGGAAATATGGAGTTTAACATTATGCATTGGAACACTGCAGGAAAGAAGGATTTTTTTATTTTGGAATAATTTAGCCGTCCTTTGTTATGATGGTGTTGAAATTATGT